CTTAGCAATTTCATTTGAACTATGTTTGAGGTTGCCCTATTTGTTGATCCACTTGATTTAAACAATTATGAATAAGTGACACAGATTTATCTGCCATATCACATTTACGGAAGTAGCCGTTATACAACTACTATGGTACTTGTATCAAGGTCCATGGTTTATATAGTGACATCTGAGCAAAATATCTACCAAATTTGGATTAAACTCTAAAATGCGACAAAGTTCAAAATGTGATTAAGTTACACCTGAGCAACATATTACATCGACCAAATTTGAATTGAAATCCATTCAACAACATCGCTATTTGCTTGAAATCCAGTTTTTGCAATGAAATGAAATGAAATATAATGGGGTTTAATGTCCTACTGTTCTGCTCCGAACTGGGCTAATGAAGACGGGCATACGCCATACAGTGTGCTATGAGGGAAATTTTGCCGGAACAGAGGTACTATGGCCTACTCTTATATCGAATTCCAACTTTCAAGGGATTTGTTGCGCGCACGCCAATGTGTACACGGAACCTCAGTTTTCCATCCCATCTGAACGACTAGACAGCTGTCCTTGTCAGACCCTCTGTTCTGCATCACTGACAAGGGTTTTTTTGTATATAAACCTTCTGTGTATTATATTCCTCACTATTTGCTTGAACAATGTTGAGAGAACCCTCAACGAAACGTAGCTCTAACTAAAATAGTTATTGTGTTCCATATTATGTTTTGAGTTTATTACGTGCGTCAATTGATAAATACCGTTGAAAGAAAATAGTCTTAAAGAAGTCGAGAATGTTTGAAAAATACAAATTTTTTTTTATTGTAGGCCAATGACATTGGCAGTCACACTATGCACAATTCCACCCTTTCGGCGCTTAGCAACTTCTTTTATACAAAATATCCACAAAATTTGGTTGAAATGAATCCAGTGCTGGTAGTCTAGGAGTAGAAACCGAAAGTATGAAATAAGCCCTTTCCATTAGCCAGATCAAGCAAAATAGCATTTTAAATGTTTACTTGTGCTTTTTTTTTGGCCTGAGAGCGATTTTATTATTCTTCTTCGCTTCGACCATAAGTCCAGATTAACTCGTTTTTTCACGCATGAATGTAAATATATAAATAAAGGTAGTCCAAAATGTCTGACACTTTCAATGTAATTTCTTATAGCTATTCTTGTGGCTGCCGACCAGGTGAAAGTAGAATTGATAAAGCCCAGTTTTCTGTCAGTTTTTCCAAACCTTTTAAAGTTCAGGCCCCGAGTTCACAAAGCATTCTCAGGCTTAAGTTAAGATTTTACTCAAATTGGTTTGTCTTATTTAAACTAAAATATAGCCCTTTATAAAACTTTTGTTGTTTTAACGTATCAAATACATCAATAAGAAACTATGTGCAAAGTTTTGTGTTTCTGGATCAAAGATATTTCCCATAAACTGCGATTGGAAGTTGAGTAAATTCTTAACTTAAGTCTGAGAATGCTTTTTTGGACTTGGGGCTAGAAGTTTTGAGAATTTCAACACGATTCCCAGCCGAACAAACCTAATAATACATGGATTGATAAAACTGACACAAATAAAGGGAGAGAAAAGGGGATTAACATCCACGCAACATAAACTAGGTCATTTCTAGACTAACACGATATAATTTCATTTCATTCATTTGCTTGCGTGTAAGGTTCTTTAGCAGTGGGAGGAAACGTGAGTATCCGGAAAAACTCATGAGGTTTGACAAGCGACCCTTAATCCTTGTCACATACAAACTGGGAATCGAACCCACGCCATTTGTCTCAATGACAGACCTTATGTGCTTACACGGCGTGACGCACATGTTAAACCATTCCGCCACCCAACTCTCCCTTGATACAAACAGTGCATACTAGTTTTGACTCTATAAAGTCATCACAATTCGGCGCTTTTAAAGGTTTAGAAAAACTGACAAAAATCAGGGCCTTATGAATCTAAGGCCTGTTTTCCATAAGTCGTTCTGATGTAAATGTAAACTGACGGAAACACATATGTGGAAAACAGACTTTAGTCTCCTCTGGCCGTTTGCCACGGAGAATAGCTATAAAACGGTTACGAAACAAATGACAACGCTTTGTCCGAGTTCAAACATTATGGTATAATCAATAGGACACTTCCTCAGATATTACGAATATTATGGGGATAAACGCCAACAAATTTACATCTTGGGCTACAATATTTATTTTAAATATTTCGTCAGCTGCGGTGAGCGGACAATTAAGATATAAACATCTCCTGTTAGAATACAGAGGACTGTTATTGTTCATTAAATAGCATTTCACGCGATCAGAATCCAACAAATTTCCATTTTAGACTACAATATTTATTTGAAATTTTAGTCAGCTGCTGTCAAGACGACAGATTAAATACCATAATTGTGAAAATGCTTAATTTAAAAAAAAAAAACCACATTTTTTTTTGCTGCCCTTTATAGAATAAACAGTCTGTAGTATGCAGAGGGAAAATGAAATAAGTTCCACTTTTTAATCATTAAACCAGCTCAACTTTCGCTAACCGTTGAATTCTGACATGAACTTTTTGGAGAAATAACGACAGGGTCTGTTAGTCCCCCCCTAATCCACCCACCAGCAGCAAAGTCGTCAGTGGTAGCTCTTAAATCATCGTCAACAAATCCTAATTAACAAGTTTCATTAATCTAACAAACTCCTAAAAAATTTTTTTATCTTGCTTTAATAGCGAGAGAGAGAGAAATGGGGTTTAACATCCACTCGACACAAACTAGGTCATTTCGGGACTAACATATGGATTTAATTTTATTTCAATAATTTGCTTGCGCATAGGGGTCTTTAGCAGTGGGAGGAAACCAGAGGGCCCGGAGAAAACCCACGAGGTTGGACAGGCAAAATAAAGAACGGAATGAAAGAATAAAATGAAGTTTTATGGCATGTCATCTCCAGTTGGGCTTTTTTGCGACAAAAGTATGTTGAATTAAAAGACAGGCTAATTTATATCACAATAAAATATTTATTTGAATAACTAAAAACAAATATCAAAGGTTTTTTTTTTTTAAATGCGTTCAAAATATATAATTCAAAATTTTAGAAATCCAGTCTTCGTTTATGCAATCTGACTAAGTTTTAAAATAATCCATCATAAACTCTTCCCTGTATTGCTTTATTAAGATTTCATATCTTCTAAATTTAATATCAAAATTTGTACAGGGCTTATCCTTGAGTCCCACTCAACAAGGAAACTAAATTTAATATCAAAATTTTTTGTACTTGAACAGGGCTCATCTTTGAGTCCCACTCAACTACCCAACTAAGTTTTAACTTTGCTATATTCCACCTATCATATGGTATTTTATATGAGATAGTCTTAATGATGAGTACAGATCAGACCAGACCAAGGACGGACATGGGTGACAACATTATACATCCACATTCAATGAGAGACTCAATAATATGAACACTATGATCTTTTTGTGCTTTATTATTGTGTCTCAAGCTGTTTGGATACCCATTGTATCATTTTAAAAGATCCCATCGAGTCCTATCCAATACTAAACTTAGGCTGCCTGTGTACAGTAAGCTCCACTTGAGAACAGACACTAAGATAGATGACCGTCGTCATTTTAATTCCTAATTCATGATTTTAGTCGAAAACACTAAGTATACTTCGAGAATTTTGAGAAGTATTTATTCTGCTTCCATTTAATGGAATTGAATAGGTTTATTTAGTCTTTGTGTTGTTCTGTATGTATCTGAAACAGTCTTGCCAAGTTTTAAAATATTCCATTACAAAGTCCGTCCAGTACAGCAATAACACGATTTCAAAGATTTAACCCTTGGTTTTATGAGAGAGCGAGAGAGAGAAATGGGGTTTAACATCCACTCGACACAAACTAGGTCATTTTGGGATGTACACATGGTTCATTTTATTTCAATAATTCACTTTTGCGAAAGGTCTTTAGCAGTTGGAGGAAGCCGGGCATCCAGAAGAAAACTCATGGGGTTGGACAGGTGATCCTACTCCTTGTCACGTACAAACAGGGTATCTAAAACCACGCCACATGACTCAGACCTTCTGATCCAAAGCGCACTCATTAACCATCTACAAGATGGGATTCTTATAGACTGATGTAAGGCAGAAGTGACACTGATAAGAGAACAGTCCTGCACTTCAAAACGCATGACAGAGAGTTCAGCGAGGTTGACCCCAATAACATGTACGGAGAATATAATTCACTTTGATAAATTTTTATGACAAACTGTTTACTGGTTTTGACATGTGGTTAAGAGCGAGAAAGGATGTTTAACGTTCAACTCAAACTTTATTTGTCTTCTCATATTATATTTCTTTGAAAAGTGTTGAGCAAAAAAAAGTTTTTCAGCGAAAGTACCTTGATCCTTGATCCACAGTTATAATGACCAACTAAACTCAATTTTCACTTGTTTTCTCATACTATATTTCTTTGAAAAGTGTCGAATAAAAAAAGTTTTTCAGCGTAAGTACCACAGTTATAATACAGCATTGTTTAACGACCAACTCAACTCAAAACTCTATTGTCTTCGTATACTATATTTCTTTGAAAATTATTGAGTAAAAAAAAAATGTATTCAGCAAAAGTACCAGCTAAAGAACCACAGTCCAAAGACATGGGTTTCCAGATTCTAACAATAAGATAAAACTCAGGCCTATTCTGCTAACAACCCTATATATTGACTGTACTGATGTGTTCAAATTCATGCACACAGCTTTCTTCCAATGATTCTATATTTTTATGATTTGAGTTGCATTAATTAACTATGGTTTTAATATACGTCAAAATTGTCAACCACATTTGATATTTTGGGGGGGGGGGGGTTGGCGGAGATGTATGGCAAATAAAATCCTGTTCCTGAGTTAAGTCGTTTGAAAAATCTGACCGTCAATAAGTCTTGTTTGTAAAACCCTGTGTCACTAAGGCCAATCGCAGAAAAGTTGAAGCCTGTTGGGAATAAAAAATAGAGATAAAATTTCATTATACCTCTGTTTTGTTCCCACATGGGATCTCCACGCCCACGTCCACCACGGCCTCTGAATCCTGGCATCCCCCTAGGTCTGTCAAATCCAAGATCGTCGAAATCAGGTCTACCAAATCGAGGTTCGTCAAATTCAGGTCTACCGAATTCAGGTCTGCCAAATCTAGGATCATCCATTAAGCTCATTGGTTGTCGACCTCTGCCACCTCTTCCACCTCTCATTGATCCTCTACCCATACCTTCATTGAAGTCAAATTCAGGTCTGCCAAATCCAGGCTCATCAAATTCAGGTCTGCCAAATCCAGGCTCATCAAATTCAGGTCTGCCAAATCCAGGCTTATCCATTAAGTTCATTGGTTGTCGACCTCTGCCACCTCTTCCACCTCTCATTGCGCCTCTATCCATATCTTCATTTAAGTCCATGTGTCTTCCAGGATCTGCTCCAAATCCTCCATGTCCCCGGGCACCTCCTCTGCCCCTTCCCCTGCTGTTTTCTTCATCTTGACTGAAATCCATGAGTTTAGCAGCAGTTGGTCCTGTCCCCCCTCTCCCTCTACTATTATTTCCTCCTCGTGTTCTACCAGTGTCTTTTCCTTCACTTCCAGAAAACTCTGCATTCTTTACCTTGGCCCTGTGTTTGGCGCCATTAAAATGGGTGTTCAGCGTTTCCTGGCTAGTCACGGTTACGTTACAGAGAGTGCATTCAAACACATTCTCCTTGGTACTGAAATTTGAAATAAAATGGGGTTTAACTTCCTACTTTTCTGCACCAACTGGGCAAATGATGATGGGCATATGCCATACAGTGTACTATGAAATTTTGAACGGATAGTGGCGCATCGGTCTCCTCTTACTCTGATTTCCAACTGTTAAGGGGTGCGGCTACCCGAAAAATGATTTCTGAAATTCTAAAGCTAGTGAATTGTAGATGGCACAAGTAGTAAGGAAATGTAATAGACAAGGGAAAACTAACATTAAAAATAAAGAAAAAAAAAAGGGTTGCCAGGGTAACACTTTTTTTTTGAAAAAGTATGAAAAACGTAGCACTAATAAAGATAAATGTCTCATTTTAGGACTGCATATTCTTTAATGGTAATTCCAAAACCAGGTAGAGAGTTTTTCTCTATAATTTTTATAGTTTCTTGTAAAATGGTGTTTAAAACATTTGCCTCACCACAATATTTTGTCTTTGGAGAAATATTTTTATAACTTTTGAAATATTAATGATAATTCAAATTGCTTTCTGTCTGATTCTGTGGTAGATATTAGTTTATATATCCTGCAAATTTGGTGAAGATATCTTAATTAGTTACAGAAATATAGTGTACCTACCTTTTTCATAATTTTTTCCCAAAAAATGTGTTATCCTGGCAACAACTTTTTTTTAATGCTAGTTTTCCCTTGTTTATTACATTTCCTAACTACTTGTACTATTTTCAATTCAATAGCTTCAACATTTCAGAATAAAAATAGCCTCCCACCTTAAGGGTTCTTAAATGTGCATGCCAATGTGTACAGATTTCCAAACATTAGTTTTTTTTAACGACTGCCAATATACATGATCTTGGGTGTTATTTGTTCCATCTCATTGACGAGACAGTTTTCCACGCTGGAAAATGCAAATACTTTTAAATTGAAGCAGGATCCAATTACATCTATTAAATGAAATGGAAATCATGAACATTCTTCTCAGGGACTACCCACAATGGTGCAGAAAATCTGATGCCCCGAGCCCCCTTATCACATTTATTCACGTTGATACTTACACTGGAACGGGGACCTGGAGCTGCCGATTAGCGTGGTCTTTACCCACATAATGTTTCGTAGCTAGATCCGGATTCGAGAATGTCACATCGCATATTTTACAATAGTTCTTAGCATCGACTGTCTGGAATAAAGAATTGAAGAAGAAAGGGTTTTAATAACATTCCTAAAATTAATAATGAATTTGACTGAAATTGAACACTACCTTAATCTTGTTTTCTTCTTTCCGAATCATCGAAAACCATTTAGTTAAATGTCAATCTCGGATCTCATTCTATACAATGCTACATTTTAACAAAATACATACAAAAACAGACAAAAAACTCAAACAAACCATCTAATATATTGTGGTTATTTTTAGGAGTTTTTTGTAATTTTATCATAATGCAATAATAATGAATGAGGGCTGGATACGTAAGGGCTGTTGATAAGCTAATAAAGATGGACACAATAACCTGTAACCTAGCAACTGATTATAATTGACACATCATTCATCAACAAATAAACCAACCATTTTAAAAATGGTGTTAACAGCTTTGTGTCGGGTATTGTACATTGGTTGCTTGAATAACCACCAACATGGTTGCTTGAATTACCACCAACATTAAACATCTGATATTAATAATAATTAATAATTGCTTTGACGCATGGTGACAACATTACCAGAGTTTTACTCGATAGTTTTTTTTAAATCCACATTACGACGTTTTCTTACTGCTGACTTTACAAAAGCCAAAAACTTTGTAGATCAGAAATAGTAATATCTGTCTATCATAGTAAACATACAAAATATTGAAAAGGTCGACATCATAATCTGCTATACTTCGGTTTCAGTCATCAAACAAGCGGTTGCCATTCAAGATAGGCCCACATTTTGCTAGAGATGGACAGAGAACATGGCAAAATCGATAGGACTAATCCTCTCACTGTTCAAATGCTTCACACCGAATATGAGAAAAAACTGTAGTTGCTAACCCGCTAACAAAGATATTGGGCACGGGAATATAACTCCAGAACGGGAGGTTTGTGGAACGCTGATTATCAATGGGGTTTGTCCATGACAGTAGGACGGACCAACAGAGAAAGACGAGAATTGATAGGTTTCGAGCCCTAGTGTTCCCAATTAAATATATTAGAAAGACCCCAATTTCATCTGAATTCAACAAAAATCGTGGCCTCTGGAGAGTCCACAAACTTCGTAAATATTTCACATTTAGTTTAAAAGACAGGGACCATAACCCAAGGAGTTGTCATGTGATGTTTACCAAAAAGGAACTCCTTTAAGATCTCCTATAAGATCTTTTGATCCTGAGCATATATTTTAAGTTTCATTTGAATCTGTGCTTGTTAATCGAAATCGAATAAAAATTTAGACCTCTAGAGGGTCCACAAGCTACATTGTACATCTATGTAGATGATTCTCAAACAATTGGGGGACAATAATCCAGGAAGTTACAGTCCAATGGCAATATGGGCCAAAATAGAACATACAGACATGCGGACGGACTGAGAGGGATGACTTAATAATATGTCCACCTGAAAATGTGGGCATATAAAAATAGCAACCAAATTGTGAAATAACATAGAAAAGAAAATATTGTAATCCTTGGTCACTGATGAAATAGATCATCTAAAGAATGAAAAATCACGCACAAATCTTTTAAAGCCTTTCGTAAACATGAAGCAGTTCCTGAATGACAACCAAAAAAGAAAGCTGAGTTGCCAGGCACCAAAACATACACCCACAACCGCAAAGTTGGCCGAGCAGTCCCTAAAAATTCTCTCGTTAAGAATCTTTAGGTTAATACAACTAAAACCTTTACTGGTGTGTAGACAAGACTGTATAATCAAGGGGAATAACTCTAAGTAATTATCTGAAATTGTTGGAATTCTTATTCAAGGGCAATAACTCAATAAGTAGTTATAAGAAATTGTTATTCATTTCAATAATCGAAACAAAGAACATAATCATATACTTCATCATATGATGCAAAGGTAAGAAGGGACGTAACTCGAGAAGTAATTACCAGAATTAGTTAAAATTCAGTAGGTTTGAACTAGGGCTAACCTCATTATACGATACGTATCACAGTATGAACCTCACGATACAATACCTATTGCAGTGGCTTTTCTTTCCAAATTTACATAAAATAATAAAAAACAAGTTCATGATATTTAAATTGTCTTTTTCATCTGGCATTTTTAATCCAAAATGTTCCCATATCCGTGATTTGTGGTTTGGTGGAGGCAAATGTTATTTCGGCCGGACACGTGTTTCAATGCCGGAAACCATCTTTCCTCCTTTTCATGTAAACCACATGTGGACATAACTCTATGCGATAGTTGAGTATCGGAAAAATGATCTGTACCATGTTTAACGAACTGCAGTATAGAATTTAAAGTACCTTGGCATGTATTCCGTACATGGGGTTTAAGGTCCTACTGTTCTGCTCCAACTGGGCTAATGAGGACGGGCATATGCCATACACTGTGCTGTAAGAGAAATTTTGCCAGGACAGCAGCTCTGACTATGGCCTAATCTTATATCGAATTCCAACTGTCAAGGGTTCTCTTACGTGCACGCCAATGTAAACATGGGACCTAAGCCCTGCAAACTGACAGGGGGGGGGGGCGGAAACGCAGGAATGTCCCCACAAACTTTCTATGCTGGGAACACTGGGCTCAAACACAGGAGCCCCTAGTTAGTGACCAAGCATCTTAGTGAGTCACTGCAGCTTCTGGCTGAAATTGAGAGGGATAGAGAGAAATGGGGTTTAACATCCACTCGAAACAAACTAGGTCATTTTGGGACTAACATATGGTTCAATTTTATTTCAATAATTCTCTTGCGCGTAGGGGTCTTTAGTAGTGGGAGGAAACCAGAGGACTCGGAGAAAACCCACAAGGTTGGACAGGCGACCTTACTCCTGGTTACGTACAACCGGGGAATCGAAACCACACCAGTTAACGCAATGACAGACCTTATGATACAACGCGCATGGGCTAACCATTTGGCCATCCAACTAGTTGTTTTTTCTCACTAATGTAAACAATGACGGACCAAGACAATGACAATATACCACCAGTTTATAGTGGGCATATATAAAAAGTAGATTATCTGGAGCAGGACCAAATGAATACAAAAATCTGAAATGTTGGTTTATGTATCACTGTAGCACGATTATCACTTAATCTTGTGTATTTAGCACTAATTTCTTTCACATTCATTCAATATCAAAAACCATTTAAAATCACCCAAAACCATCTAACTTGTACTTGTGTCCAGTTTAAAGCTGACCATTCAATTTTGTTAACGAGTGTCCAATTTACAAGTGTTTAATTTCTCGATCACTGTTAAAAAATAAACAACCAAATTGATTATTGATGTACAATGATTAAATTTTGAAGAGTGGTCAGGAAATTTAATACTTGTAAATTGGACACTCATAATCAAAATTAATCAGACAGCTTTAAACTGGACACAAGTACAAATTAGATGATTTTCTGTGATTCACATTTTTTTTAAGAATTTTTAAACAAAGATTCGACATTAAATGAATGTGAAAGAAATTAGAGATACAGTAGATATATAAGATTAAATGATTCTCATGTTACAGTGATCTTAATCATCAAATTCGCAAAGCTGAAAAATGGAAAAAAAAGTTGTAAACGACGCAGAGGCCAAATATATCTGAAAGAAAATAAAATAAAACTGTACATGAATCATACAATATTGATATTTCAGAAATAAATACACCTGACATAATAATTGCATTAAATTCACAGGTTTCAAAGATACATTTTTTAAAACAATAAAAAAAAATTATACATCTTTCTTACAAATTCTCAGTGCTGGTACACTATAGAGTTGTCTCTTCACGAATATTTGCGAGTCTTGACTGACTCGCTGTAAAAACGACAGACTGGAGAATTTACCTGTCAGTCATTCTAGATGCCATTCAACACACTAAATACAGTTAGAATTCATAGTTTTTGTGTAAAAATACCTAATAATATATTAGAAAATTTTGATAATGCTTAAAAATGGTCATATTCTTTGGGAAAAATATCTTGCTAATGTTGTGTAATTGTATTTGAAGTCTTATTTTGACCTTTTAACGCAATTGGAATCCCTTGCAAACTTATTAGTTAAGTGTTCCCAAAGATATGTTGAATTTAAATTTCACTGATCTATGCTGCTAGCTATGTAATAAACCCTGTTGAATTTTAATTTCACTGATCTATGCTGCTCGCTATGTAATAAACCCTGTTGAATTTTAATTTCACTGATCTATGCTGCTCGCTATGTAATAAACCCTGCCACCATTTTGTTGTAGGGAAAAAATATTCTTTTTATATTTTTGTGTTGCTTTGACTACCTCTACCTTTTAAGTCGGCAGCCAGGGTGCCTTAGCTAGTAAGGTGCTAACTCACAATCCAGGAGGTCATGGGGGTCAATCCAGGGGGTCATGGGTCAATCCAGGAGGTCATGGGATCAATACCAGTGTTGACCGAGAAAGTTCATCTGGATTTTCTGGGATGATTTCTCTTTGTCAGTGGTCCAGGATGGACAGCTTGGCAATGAAATGGGGTTTAACGTCCTACTATTCTGCTCCGAGCTGGGATAATGAAGACTGGCATACGCCATACAGTGTGCTATGAGGGAAATTTTGCCCGGACAGCGGCTCTATGGCCTACTCTTATATCAAATTCCAACTGTCAAGGGATCTTTTACATGCACGCCAATGTGTACACGGGACCTCATTTTTCGTCCCATCCGATCGACTAGACAGCTTGGCAATGAAAAGCAACTAGTCGTTCGGATGATATGAAAAACAGGTCCCCTGTACACATTGGAAGGGGCGTAAACACAACTCTTGCCAGTAAGAATTCAACAAAGAGTAGGTTGAAACACAGCTGTTAACGCAAAATTTCCCTTATAGTACAGGCATGATGTTCGTCAGTAGTTCATTACGGTATCCCAGTGGTAGGAAAACTTGGGAACCAGATCCAGCAGAGGATAACTATAGGTGGAGGAATTAGCAATAGTTAATTCTATAACAATGGTGTCAATGATAATTGGTTATCACAAGACCCCACATTGTGATGAATCAAATGAAATAAAATGGGATTTAACCTCCTACTTTTTTGTAC